ACTTGTTTGGTACTGCTTGTTCTGATTTTGTTCTTCTAGCCTTCTTCGGAGGTCATTGTCTGACCTACAGTACTTCTCAAACTCAGTATACAGTTCTTGTATAGTGCTTGGCTTTTCCCGAGCTAGATGAGCCGTGAAGGCTCCAATGCGGAGGCCCTTGATTGCGGCCTCAATTGCCACATCCTTCGGGACATTTGGTGCCTTCGCTTTAAGCTACACAAACCTCTAAAAATAATCCCTTAGCGCTTCACCTTGATTCTGTCTACACTGAAATAAATCCATTGATGTCATAGATTCAATGGTGAACCCTTTGAAGTTAGAGATGATCTTATCTCGAAGGTCTTCCCATGAATATACTGAACTTGGCCTTAACATTGAGTACCATGCCAATGCATCTCCTTTGACTGTAATGACAAATGATTTGGCCAAGATAGTGTCATTCCCTCCTGCAGAGGCTATGGCTACCTCAAAACTCATGATGAACTGGTGGGGGTCTGATCTTCTATTGAATTTGGGTAGGGTAATGGCTTGTAAGATGGTGGCCAAGGTGAGCTTTGGATTCCCTCATAGAGTGGGGAATATAGCGCTGGTTGTGAAATGATACTAGAATGGTCAACATACAATATATTTTTTATTGTTTCTCTTGGTGACATATTTTGAGCGTCTATTAACCATCGCAAACCCAATCACCTATTGTGATATAATAAAATAGAAAATGGTCATATATACTTAAATTCCAATGATCCAGAAAAACTATCGCATATTGTTGGAGCCTAAAACATATTAAATCAATGGATATAGCCAATGGCTACAATGACTCATGTGTATATATATATGACTAATGGTTTATAGTTCTCCAATAATTAAGAAAAATATCGTCATTAAATGCATTTCTCAATGGGCGAAACAAACCATCAAAGAAAAGGTCCCCAGCCGGGGTCCTAATGGCAAAACATGCCAATTACCAAGCCCAACAACAGCTAGGAACATTGACCATCAACTTACCGATTATAACACCCTAAAATTTGCTTCTCTTGAGATAGAGCTAAAATGATTTAATTTTGTATTTTTATGCTCATGAAAACACGGGGAAATAATAAATTTTCATTAGATTAAAATTTATCTTAAGGTAGAAACATGTTTGTTGCATTCATGCCGGTCGCACCTTGTTTTTCTATGTGCAAAATGTGTTTTTTTGAAATACGTTTAGGAGACCAATATCTATCTATAGGAATTTTCCAACTTCTTTTTGGAATTTAATTCCTACCTCCTTCATCTTAATCTTTATGTTTCAAGTTTCCAACAATCTTTTTATGAGCTCCAAATACTTTATTTGGGTTCATCATGTTCCTAAATGTCTTTGGAAATTTTCCCAAATTTTCGAAGGTCTCGGAGTATTTTTCGTGGCTTAAATATCAATTCTGGACTTTTCTAAAATTATTTTATTCATAAAATTAATTAATTCCAAAAATAAATAATATATCTCATTTTCCAACCAACTCTCAAAGCCCATGTGCAATAATCCTAATAAATCTCAAAGGCCCATGCATTTATTTACTAATGGGCTTTAATGATTATTTAGGTCCATTAGTAAATATGGATGGTGCAACATCAATTAGTATCATATTGCTAGTTGATGTAGATGTGGGGAGTTTTTCTCCCTATAAATTTGTACCAACCCCTTAGACAAAGCACACCAAAACTACCATAAGGGGAGCCCCTAGTTTGGAAAATCCCTCGTGTAGTAAATTAGATTTTTCTCCTCCTCTCGCCGTCGCCGTCGTCGTCGCCACCGTGCTGCCTGATGCCGTAGATCTGCCATTGACCCAAGAAGGCCCTAGGTGAGTTCATCGTCTTCTCTTGTTCCCTGTGCTCTCGGCTCGTCAAACCGTGGCCTCTAGGGCCCAAACCAAGCGCTCCGGAGAGCTTCCCGCCGTCGGTAATGGAGCTCCGCCGCAACCGTTTTTTTCTCCGGCCGGTGACTCTCTCTCCCCCTCCTTTCTAATCTGGGCCATCCAGATTCAATCCAACGGTCCAAGATCACCCATACCCCTTCGCCGGGTTTATTTGCAAAAGAGCCCCTACAGTTTCGCGTAATATAACCCGCAGTCCATGGCGTACTTCCAGAATATGTTTTCCTATTATGAAAGCGTAGTTTCTTTCTAGTAGATTCAGAATACGTTTTCTCTTTTAGAAAACATAAAATCCCTATGTTAGATTCAAAATACGTTTTCTTCTTTTAAAAATGCGGTTAGATCCAAAATACGCTTTCATCTATTTACAGTTTTGCCACTAATTTTGTTTTAGTCATAAAATCTTCGTTTTAAGTCCGATTTAACCCGTTAAAGTTGTGTTAGATTTGTAATTGCGTAATCTACATATTTATCCTACTGTTAAATATATTTTCAACTTTCAAAATTCAAGGTTTGATTTAATCTATTATTTTATTAAAGGAAATCTTGTTTAATTCATAACTCCTTCGTTATAGCTCCAATTAGAGTGCTTTTCGTATCTGTGTGTTCGTAGCGGGACGTAGATTCGTTTTACAAACTTTTTATTTTGATTTTATGTTTGGTGTACTGTTATAATTTAGATATATTGTTTGCTTCGTGTATGATTGCATGTATGCTTGTGTGGTGCTTTATGATCATGTCCAGTCGGTGAGAAGTACGTTGATGAAATAGAAGAAGTTGGTGATGTAGAAGAAATCTTTTGGAGGTTACAATTCAGTAGAAGAAGTATCTGAGTTTTAAGGCAAGTACAACATAGGATCATCCTTGTTGTCCTATTCACCTTAATATCATTTTAATCATATGCATGTGTCTATCTTGACAACTGTAGTAATTTTTTTAGCTATTTGATATCTTGGATTTCTTGTCTCCTATGGGTTATTGCATTGGGTAGTATGATGCTAGTGCTCAACTACAACCATGATCTTATAACTTGACTAATGGTATATGTAATAAACACTAAAAGATGTTTTTAGCAACATGGAACCAGGGGCTAGAGCATTGAGCTGTTTTTATGGTGCTCTAAATTCCTCTCCCTAAGGACTTATCTGTAAATGATCATCCGGGACTTACAGTACGGCTGTGAGGGCTACATGGCTCTGGATTTAGCTCAGTATGAGGACCTTTTCTAGCTTGTTAGTGGTTACCTTTATTGGCGTAAGAATGGCTTGACGAATCGGGTATAGGACAGCCTTTGTCCCCTTATGTATAGGCTGTGTGTCATTGTGCCATCGAAAAGGGGGTTCCTACATCTGTTTGCCGAGTGAATCTAATGACCCTAACTTGTTAGACGAACCTTTGAAAGGCTTCATAGTGAACCCTACCGACCTTCCTTGGAAGTGGGTCAAGAAATTAGCTACATCGGGCGAAAGGGTAAATCATGACTCATAGTGAAAGTGTACAACCTCTGCAGAGTGTAAAACTGGTATATCAGCCGTGCTCATGGTCACGAGCGGCCTTAGAATATTTACGGAATAGATGATCATTAATGGTTAATGATGATGAACACGGATGATACCGATGATAAAGATGCTCACTAATGAATACTGTTTATGCTATTCATTATTAATGTTTACCTGATCATGCGTTTATATGGGCTTGTGATAAACTTGTTGCTACTCCTATGCTAAAATTGTGACAATTAAAAGCTAATCGCAGTTAAACCAGTGTCAACCTTTTGAGCCTCATGAACCCCATGTTATATTTGTTGAGTACGACATGTACTTATGCTTGCTTTATTTTTCACATATTTGGATAAAAATCCCATATGAGTATCAGATTGCTAGAGTTTGGAGGAATTAGGCTTGCGATCAACCAGTCAATTGTCCCTGTAGAATTGGAGTCTTCACCCGAAGATTGGAGTTGTCTTTCCGCTATTTGCTCTCTAAGGTTATATTCTTTATACTAGGTATGTTATATATTTAGCATTGTCTATTGATATTACCCTTAATTATAGCTATATGTGAGAATTGATTTTCTGGGCTCACATATGATGTGTATCTGGTTTTGTTCTTAAATTCGGGTGCTACACCGATGATTCACCGTCAACAACTTACCATTGCCCTCTAATTTACTACTCGCCCATTGGCAAAAGGGATAAAACCCAACCAAGAGTGGTCGACGAGAACATGTCAACATTGTATGCTCAACATTGTCTTTGCCGATGGTGGAAGATAACGCCCAACTATTTAATAATTTTTTGCCAATATTTATCGAGTTCTAGTGGTGTTTTTAGGAACAAAGAGCTTTTTGGTGAAAGGAGATGTAGTTTAATACAAGTTTCACTGTAATAGGCTAATAAAGCCGAAGATACAATTTGTTTGAAACATTTTCTTCTTTTACTTGTGCTCTATAAACCAACCAACTTTTGCTATATGATATGAGATGCCATAATAGCTACAATGAAACCGGTTAAAGTTACATCTCATTGCATCAATGAATTGTAAGGACATAGAAAAATGATTTGATAAATTAAACAATAATGTCATACTACCTCCTATTTTTAATAATTTATGTTGGTTAGCTTGAACTAACTAACGTCAATTCTTAGAAGTTGTGGGGAGTACAATTAACATTATGGACAGGGACAATTTATATAGTATGGGTTCCATAACATAGACACAAAAGGATGAAGAAACGTTTTGATATAAGACTTCATCAACAACATGATCCAAATGGATTACATAATTTATTCAATAACATTTTGGTTGGACATGATAAAGTATGATAAGAAAAAAGGGACTCTCTCCGAAGTAGCTATTGAGATTTTGATATCTTGCGCAGAGTTGAACTGCAATCTTACTAACTTAGGTAAGTGTTTATCTTGGTCTTCGCATCAAAAATACCACGGAGGCGATGCTCCATCTTGACCTGATGGCATAGGTGCATTACTCGGGGTGGCATGATATGTGGTCTTGGGACCTTGCTCAGATGGTGAGATATCATTGTAATTCGCCGGTGAGGGTGCTATAGCTGAATGCATCGATCGAGATGGTGGCGGGAATTTCCTGTGGCCACGTGGTGGTGGTGCCTTACCATGAGAAGGCGGCGGTGGTGGTGGATACTTGTGTGTTGGAGGTGGTGAATTATGCGGCGGGTAGCGAGTTGGAGGCGGGGGCAGGAAGTGGTGAGATGGGGACGGTGGAGAATAATGACCATGGGGTGGAGAATGATGAGCGGGAGGTGAAAAATGAGGCGGTGGTGCATGGTGAGCTGGGGGTGGTGGTGAAGAATGAGTAGGGGGCAAAATATGAGGTGGTGGTGAATGGTGAGCGGGGGGTGGAAAATGAGGCGGCGGTGTGTAGTGAGTTGGTGGTGGTGGTGCATGGTGTGCAGGAGGAGATGGAAAATGAGGTGGTGGTGCACGGTGTGCGGGAGGAGGTGAAAAACGAGGTGGTGGTGCATGATGAGCAGGGGGCGGTGGAGGGTGGTGAGCCGGGGAAGGGCTTGGCGGAGCTTCATTGTGGTGGTGGTGGTGGTGGTGGTGGCCATGGTGGCCATGATGTTTGTGGTTAGGCGAGCCGTGGTAGGACGGTGGCTCGACTGGCGCCAACGACTCGTGGTGGTGGTGCTTCCCATGCTCAGATCCAGGGTGTGCAGCCAGCGGCGCCTCGGCATAGGGCTCATGAGCTAGTGCTTCTACCGGTGGGAAGGCATAGGGAGACGACGCAGCGCTACTGCACGAGGAGAACGCAGCGGCAAGAGCAACAAGGAGGGCGATGCCCTTCATGTTCGTGGTGGTGCCCATGCTGTGGTTTTTGGCTTGCCTCCGATGCTCGTCCATTTCGCGCCTTATATAGTGGCAGTGGCCGTTTGAATCTTGAGTTTGATGTTACCAAACCCATTATCTTGGGTTGGGTGCTGTTGGTGGACAAACTGCAGAGGGCTATCCCAAGAATGTGCGACGGCTTGACTGGGCCGTGCTTCACGGGGACGAGGCCGCGCAACTTCCGTGCTGTTGGACTTCGAAGCAGGTACTTTATTAGCAAAATCCACGGCTGTCTTGTCTCTTGAAAGTGATGATGAAATGAACCTTAAACCTGGCCTCGATACTCTCTGTGTTGCTAGTAGTAATACAGATTTTGAGATATAGGATTTGGATTTCTTTCTGTGGTAAGCTGGTAAAAAAATGCTTGCAACTTGTTTGCGCAGTGGTTTTGAAGTCTAGGCATGGTTAATATGCAACGACTTCAACGTAACCTTAGCACAACAACTGCACCCATATTCAGACAAGACCAGTGATTATCTGGCTTGGATTCGCCGGGGAGTATCTTGAGCGATCGTTTAGATTTGGCAGGTGGGTAGCACTGAGAGTTTAATGGGCTTTGGACCACAAGAGACCTATCGTACGTTCCCATCGGTTGTGCTGCTGCAGGTGTGTTTGGACCAAACTTCACCGAGTGGGCCTGGAGACCTTGCGATATCTGGACCCAAGAATTTTGTGGACGGGAGGCAGACTGGTTATAGTTCCGTCGTCGGCAGTCCGGCAGGAATCAACCTTTTTGGGTGCGTCGACTGACAAATTGCCCTTGCCGTTCCACATCCGTACTGTTGTGCAATCGTGCCATTTTATGGTTCACGTTTAGTTTAGTTTCATTACTGGGTTCTGGATTCACTACAAGTCCTAACTCCTAAGCATTGCAAATCCGTCGTATATTGGATACACTGAACAAAACGCAGTGGGCGATGGGCGCACAGTCCCGTTCGTGCGCTCCGTTGGGGATGTTGACACGTGGCTGGTTAATTAAATCTCATGTCCACCAGCTTGTTCCAGCAACTGCTTCTGTGATTTAAGGCAGCACCTGTTCACATTCAACGGAGGAGCCTCCTCTCCCAGCCGTTTGATTTTCTCAAGGCACCACGTGGCAGCCATCCAAGCTAGGGGCGTACGGACGGGGCTGTGCGCCCATCGCCCACCAAATTTTCTTTCGAACAAAACTTTCGACCTAAAAAAAATTGACTCGCTATCTATCTTTTGCTCTTTGAGCTTCTGACATTCCTATTCCTATGCTACTAGAAAATTGATTTCATAAGACAAACCTTTTTTATTTACAATGCGGTTATAAAAAAACTAGAGTCTCTCAAGTTTGTTGGAGTGCCTCCCATCTAATACCCGCTTTTATAATTTATTTTTCAGAGATGGACAGCTAAAGAGGATTATTTCTGAAAATCGTCCATTTCTAATACCCGCCTGCAGTTCCGTTTTCATGTACGTATATCATCTCGCCTCAGAAAATATCGTCCACCTATGAAAATCTAAAGAAATGTCCTCGTAGAGGTATGCCGCCTTTGCTAATAGTTTAATACTAATGACACGTTTGTTTGAGCTGCATCTTTCTGGCTTTAGGCTAGAAAACTAGCTTCCCAATCGTTAACTTTTTTGCTTTTTTTACTTTGGTAAAGCTCCTCATAAGGTATTTTTTAGCTTTTAGTTTATTTTCTCATTAACTAGTTTTTAGCTTTTTAAAAATCACCTCAACAGCTAGAAGGTAGAAAAAAAACTAGTGTAAAAGTAGTTTGTAGTAGTGCTATTGTGGCAAGTGCCCTCTTGAATTCTAGCTTTTTAAAGTTTCTTAGTGATGGATCTCTAAGAGGGACTCCTCTATAGATTTTCTAGCCAAACACTTTTAGATCCACGTTGATCCACCATAGAGCGGCTTCACAAAATCTAATGGATCTATCTCGCATCCATGGGTTTCATGGAGCACCCTAAAAGGTGCTATAAAAACTCAAGTTCCGTGGAGTTGAGAAAAATTACTTACCGTACTACTGATTCCTTTTGTTCCGTTCTATTTCTTCCTCGCTCGCTCCTCAGTCCACGCATCGCGTCGTATAGCTCCCAGGATCGACCCCACCGCAGCCAACGTGCCCGTCCCCACCTGAGCCCGGCCACGTGACCCCCCACTCGAGCCCCCACCACGACCGGCGTGCCCTGCCCTCTGGCGCCCCACGCCACGCCTCCCTCCCTCATGCGCTCTAAAGCTGAAGCCCTTCAATTCCCAACAGGCCCATATATAGTTTGGATTTTGGATTTTTGAAATCTGCCCAGCACCACTACCGCGCGCGGTGACTTTCTTCTGATTGTTGCATGCACGCATTCTTGTTGATGCCTAAAGGGCAGCTGTAGTATAAAACACATCGCTAGTACGTATGCTTTGGGGCCATGTGCGAAGCATAAGATGGCTAGTTTGAATGTTAGGCGAAGCTAGACACACGAGTCAGTTCCGGCATGGACGGCCACTGTCACTGTCTGCCGGAAAGGCAATATGCGTGTACGGGGTACGTAGTGCTTTAGGTGGATCCGATCACGGTACGACTCACTGCGTAGTTGCATAGATCTGGAACGACGTCTGTGTTTTCCCGTAACGCTTTTGCATGTGGAGGTGTCCGGCCACGTCCTACTAGTAGATGCTAGGATATCGACGATTCCGAAACTTGGCGTACGTGTTAGTGCACGAGGAATGGTACTGTTCCGTCGTCGTAGCTACAGAAAGAGGAACGCTGGCCATGCGTGTGTGCAGAAATAATAAACCAGCTAACAAGTATTGTGAATCGTGTCATGCATTCGGTTGCTACCACGGAGTACGGAGTAGTAGTATGATTTTTCGTCACGAAATCTGGGCAATTTTATGGACCCGAAACCGCGGCGCGCTCGGCATGTGTCCCGTGCCTCAGGATTCCGCATCTCGGCACGCCGCGATGGTATACAGCTGCACGCGGCGCCGGGCACCCGGGACTGTCCCATGTTGGCACTGGACGGAACTGCAAGATGCAAATAAAGAAAAGGAAAGGAGATCCACCGCTACAGCTGGTTGTTCCTTTGTTCCTCTGTGTGGCGGGCGGTGGGGCTTGCTTGCGGGTTTCCTGCTCCTGCACCGCCGGTCTCGGCGTCTGCAGTCTGCAGCTGCACCCCTCCCTCCTGGCCTTTTTCTCGATCCTTCTCCCGTGGGCCGTGGCCGGCGCCAGATCCAGCGGCTGCGGCTCTCGTGTCTGTACTGTACCACAACTGCTGCACTTCATCGTCTCGAAGGACGGACACCGTGGTGCGGCCCCGACGACGACTGAACGTCGCTCCTCGTCCACAACCCACATGATACTACTCTACATTGTACTGTATAGCGTACAGTAGGACCGTACGACGTACCCACACACTACTATAGTATATTGCTATCTGATTGTGATTGGACTGGACACCAACGGCTGATTGACTGATTCGTGGTAGCTCCTGGTAGTACCAGTGGATAAAGAAGATGTATAATGGCCCTGTTCGGCCGAGAGCTAGCTAGCTAGATCGACAGCAGATCAAAGAGTGCTCTCGGCGGTATTGATCGGTTTGGTTGGCACTGCTAAGGCCAAGGACGGAGAGCAGCCGAGAGCACCATCCGGTTCACTGACGCTTAACATAAGTAAGCGACAGTAACGAGACCTGAATGTTGTAGCTGCGCACGCATCGCGCCGTGAACCGAAGGACGTTTTTCACTTTTTCAGTAAAAAAAAGTTTTCCAGACAGATGACACCGGAAAGAAGGTTGTTTCTGGTATCTTAGGGAAGGCATGCAAGCACTGCAGGTATCACCAACACATGCATGGTTGGGAAAGAACCACATGACAAAAAAGTTCTAAATTATTTTGACCTAATACGATTCGATGTGAAGCGAAATTAAGGACAGCTGTACGTTTATTAGGCCTTGCATGGGGAGGTCACGGTCAAAGACGGGTACTAGACCACGAAATCAGATTAGCATACACATCTTGTATTTTTGATAGGTCAATTATTTTTAAATTTGACCAAATATATATTAAATTAAAAGAACGTATTATTGTATTTATTATCACGTCATATGTTTTTATATCAAAACTGTTTAGAGATATACAATTGTTGATACTATTTTCTATAAATTTCATACAACTTACTTATGATTGATTGGATTTTTGAAATGCGAGGTATGTATTTGTTTTAGGAGGAGAAAGTATCCCGCAAATCTGCCGTGCACAGTGTAGAGTACTTCCGCAATTTGGATGTAAAACGCACAAATAGCCGTAATAGGTAGGTACCTAGTTATGCATCACGCGCTGCCTAGCTAATGACTCGCTCTAGGCAACACGTCAGTAAAAAGCACGTTTGACGTTGTAGGGTTTGGTTTACCTTTTGACATCTCATCTCCACCTTATTAATTCAATACGAGTGTCCTGTTCTACCTTCTACGGCGTGAGCTTCCGGGCAGGAGCAGGACAGGCGCACCGTCAGTTCGACCTACTAGTACCCTAGTACAGTAAGTTATTTACCCTGTCTGCACGTACACGGCTCCTCCTCTACGGCTTCTCTCATCGGCTGCTAAAATGTTCGGCACAGGGAGGACAAGGGCCACGTTACCGCCAATGAAAGCACGCTTTCCTTTCCCATGCATGATGTACGACTTGTATACTGCTTTTCAGTTGTCACCGCATTCACGCGCCAGTCCTTATCACACACACCACACCCCACTCAACGCTGTTTCTTTTCTACGGAGTAGCTTTTCTCGCTACGGGCGGGACATTATTTCCACCGTAACTCATTTTTTGATCGACAAGGCAAAGCAGATTTTGAGTCCCGGCCAACTTCGGAGTAGCGTAGCTGACCACAAAATCGGAGTAGCTAAGCAAGCCTACGATGCGCAATCTGTAGTTCTGCACGTTTCATTCTACCACTTCCCCCGCACATTGTAACTCTGAATTAACTCGATTTTCAACCCTTTTGAAATATCGTATCGAACTGCCCCAGCAAAAACCAAAATTCTTACTGAACAAATTATTTATTTAGGTTAAGGAGACTTTTGTTTTGGTGTGATCACATTCTTTTCTTCCCTGTTGCATGTTCCTGCCATTTGATCCTTTTTAAGCGGTGAGAGGTATGGTAAGGCAAACGCTCTTTTCTGAGGCCGGTTAAAACTATGTTCTCTCTGACATGCATCGACATGCGCATGTGAACCAGCGTGTGGCCACACCACCGCCACACCGAAAACGATATATCATCCGTGTGAACTCAAGTCGAACGTGAGCGGCATAAATAAATTTACGTAAATGTGGTGTACTGTGCGAAAATATGATTAGTTTCGGAAAGGACAACGAGCTAGCTGGAGATTTCGGAGCCCCAGTCCTTCATATCATATATATCTAGACCGTCCTGATAATATCACCATTCCACGCATAATCTCCTTATTATCTCATGCACTGTGTAATATGTACGGAGTACTGGTGATCTTTTTAACACGGAAAGAAAGAAAAAAATATGGTTACAGGTCTACAGCAATGGGTAAAGTAATCATGCCGTACACCAGTGTCAGTGTAGCAACTTTTTTATTCACTGACTAGCTAGCTAGCGTTCCACTATTTTTTATTATTTTTTTGCAGGTAAAAAAAACCAGTGTTCTTGTTTGCTTTCTCTTGGGACCATGCTGCCTTTCATTGCTACTAGTACTAGTAACTAGGAGTAGTAGGAAATGTGGGGGCATGGATCTCACTCTAGTTGTAATTTGCACCGAGACTTACGTCACCCGTTTGGATTGGAGTATTTTCACAGGAACTTTGAAGGAAACCAGTTCCTCTGTTTGAATGACGTCAGGCAGCGTTTGGAACGGAGGAACGCTTGTTTCAGATCCAAAGGAAAGGTTCGGTTCCCTTCACAAAATGTAGGAAAAAATACATCCAGTCTGAGCTCTGGTTTCGCATAAGACCGAGGCAAAAAGAGCGCAGAGGAGATAAACAAAAGAGCACTAGCTCATTTCTCGATACTGTTGTTGTCCAAATGCATGGGATCATTTGTCTAACGCATACAGTGCTGATTATTATAATACAAAAAATATTGTTAGTGGTATTAATGGTCTAACCAAAACTTTTGTTTCCTCCATTCCAAACACTCATTCCCACAAAATTCCTACGTTTTTTAATCATCTGTTTTCAACCTCTACTCACTTTCTATTCCTGTGTTTTTTCTCATTCCTATGTTTTTTATTCCCGCCTTCCAAACAGGCCCTTAATCTACAAACCACTGTGTTTTTTCTCATTCCTATGTTTTTTATTCCCGCCTTTCAAACATGCCCTTAATCTACAAACCACATCGTCTGTGAATAAAATTAATAATAACAACACCACCGAACCGCATTTGACCCTAGAAGACACGGCAAGCATCTCGATTTGTCCTGCTCCACACGGTGGATGCATCTTTCTGTCCATCGCACTATAGTTGTGTTTCCGTCCGTAGTAGGAGTAAGCTGGAATGCACCTAGACGCATCTGTACACTCCAGGATTTGGGCAATCGGTGGTGTCACCCAGGCATGGGTGCTCTGCAGAGCAGGGGGATGGGCAGGCTTCGTCGCGTCTAGCGACTGTAGCAGCGCGTGACAGCTCACGTCGCCGCAGACTTGCACGCATGCATGCATGCAGCCATGCTTGCTGCACCAACGCGACCTAGGCCGGTTGGTCCAGTTTTTTAGGCCCAGTTTGGTTCCACAGAGCTTCTAAAATTCCTAATCTATCGAATTTTTACACAAATTCCTGTTCTATCAAATATACAAAGTATTAAATATAAACTAATTATAAAATTAATTGTATAACTTACGACTAATTTATGAGACAAAATCTTAAGCATAATTAGTTCATAATTTGACCTATGATAAAACATATGCTAATGATAGATTAATTAGACTTAAAAAATTTATTTTGAAATTAGCCTCCACCTATGTAATTGGTTTTGTAATTAATCTATATTTAATGTTCTTATTAATATCTAAACAACGTGACATGAACATTAATTTTAGAAACGTCTAGAGAACAAAAACACCCCTTACTGTAGAGGCGTGTCCAGTATATTACTGCCGTGTGCCCGTGCAGAGTATCGAGCATCTCTGATACTGAAACATCACACATCTCGTCACGTCACCGATGAAAAGAGCTACATTAGCAGCGAGGGAGAAGGCGATACTACGGCGGTGCAGTGCAGACTGCAGAAGATACCAGAAACACTAGTATTAGCTTTTCCTTGCATTTCCACATTTATTATGGTTTTACACCAATAGTTGCAATACCATTACCCACACAAATACACCTGCTAACACATTGACGAACACAAAACTAAACAAACGGGTTGGAGGACAGGAAACAGAGGGAGCAGGGCTCTGCATTATTCTCCTCTAGCTGGGACTGACTGGGATAGATGGCAGCACACACAGAGCAGGGTAGGACTCGCCTCGCATCATCATCAGCTCATCTTCGATCTATCAACCCTGGCTGGCTAGGACACAACTCTCTTCGATCAATCACCTTCTGCGACACAAAAAGGCGAACCGAGTAATTGTTAGTAGGAGAGTACATACACATTAGACAAACTTGAAGGAGAGGAAGCTACGACACATTTTCTTGACTCAAGCATAGAATAGAAAATGTTTATGTGTGCAAGCATATGCGTATGCTCCATTCTTGTACGTACCAAATGCTCCGAGAGATTGACAGCAGAGTGGTAGACCTCACTTCTTCTAGTAGTAAGGCGGCGGCGGGCCGGGGGTGTGAGACACCGGCGGCTGCTTGTACGCCGGCGGGGTAGGGGTCGGCGGCTTGTACGCCGGTGGAGTAGGGGTCGGGGGCTTGTACGCTGGCGGCGTCGGCTTGGGTGCCGGCTTGTAGGTTGGCGGCGTCGGCTTGGGCTTCGGCGTGTAGGTCGGCGGCTTGTACGCCGGCGGAGTGGTGGTCGGGGGCTTGTACGCCGGCGGCGTTGGAGTGTAGGTGGGCGGCTTGGTAGCCGGTGGCTTCGGTGTGGGAGTGTACGTCGGCGGGGTCGGCTTGGGTGTCGGGTACGTTGGGGGCTTGGTGACCGGTGGCTTGGGGCTCGGAGTGTACACCGGCGGGGTCGGCTTGGGCGTCGGAGGCTTGGTAGCCGGTGGCTTGGGGGTAGGGGTGTACACCGGTGGGGTCGGCTTCGGTTTCGGATAGGTTGGCGGCTTGGTAGCCGGTGGCTTGGGGCTGGGGGTGTAGGTCGGCGGAGTGGGTTTTGGTGTGGGCTTCGTCGGGGTCGGGGTGTAGGTCGGCGGCGTGGGCTTGGGCGGAGACGGCTTGGGGGGTGACGGGGTGGGAGTGTACGTGGGCGGCGTCGGCTTGGGAGTAGCCGGCGGCGTGGGCTTGTGGCTCGGGGTGTAGGTGGGTGGAGTCGGCTTGTGCTCCTTGGGCGGCTTGTGCTCCTTGGGAGGCTTCTCCGGCTTGTGGCCGTGCTCCTTGGGCGGTTTCTCCGGCTTGGGCCCCTTGGTGGGGGGCTTCTCGGGCTTCGGCGCCGGGGTGGTCGGCGTCGGGTAGCCGCCGCCGTAGCCGTAGCCGGCGTTGGCCTGGATCTCCACGGCCAGGCTCACGGCCACCAGGGCCAGCAGCAGAGCGGCCTTGCCACCCATCATCCTCTGTCTCTCTCTCTCACTCGCTACAAGAAGCTCTTCTTCTGCTTGGCTCTAGCTACCCACTATGTGCAGTGGTGGTCTGAGGAGAGATGCTCACCCTGCCACTGCTTATATACACGGAGGAGGGGGTGGGGGTGGGGGCCTCGGATGCCCTCTCGTGACGCCCTCCGATGGAGTGAGGGCAGGGCCACTCCGGCGAGAAGGCATTCAGGCATGTGGGGGCGGGCGCGGGAGGCTTCCCCGTTGGTCACTCACCGCTCAGTAGTCCAGCACGGGCCAGTCTGAGCCTGTTGACGCACGGCATGGAATGGATAGAGTCGTGAATAGCTACTAGGGCGGGCCCTTGGTGGAGCAGGTGCATTTACGTCGCTGCATATACAAGTATTTTCTACCGTACCCAGGCCTGCATGCATCACTCCGCCTTGCACTGAATGGCTGAAGTGGCAAGAAGAGCCATGTGACGTTTGTGCAGCTCGCCGAGATCAAACGACGTGGATCAAGCAAGATGGGTTCAGTAGGTTTCTTTATTACTAGTCCTTTGAACACTTATTTTCAGGAGTAGATACTCACCATTCATATTCAGCCTGTTCGTTTATCGGTTTCAGCCAACCAAAACCAGTCAGCCAACAGTGTTTTCTTTTAAAAAAATCAGCACCAGCCAGCTCAAACCAGCACCAGCACCAACCAGCAAACAGGCCCATCTTTCGGTAGCTTCGGGGCATTGGCCGCAGAGAATAGCAACTGTGGTTTCCTGCACATATCCGAACAACGGGAGGCCATTTTAAGCATGTTCAGCTGGCCAATGTTTGGCCGCTCATAAAGTCGCTTGTGCTGATTTATACGTCTAATTTATTGAGAGAGAAAAATATTATACCATGACTTTTAAGCAAGCCGACTTATAAAGACAGCAGAACACTCCCGAAACGAATGCACAAACAGATTTTGTTATGATCACCTTTTAAAAGCCATATATTTCTACATAGGACACTAGCTATATGACGACTAAGACAAGGAGCATATTTCCTTGTCTGCAAAGCACAGTCGCAGAAATTTTGAGCAGTACTCCAATCCTGACACACACCCACTCATTCTGCAGGGAGCTCGTGTAGTGTCAAAAGGTTTAGGGCTAGGGGACGAATACAGTATACGCGGTTCTGCAGAAGGAAAGGGAGAGGACGTTGCTTGCCCACCCACAAATGGCTGACGACGACGAGAAGCATGTGCATTCATCTGAGCAAAGGAGATATTTTTAGCTCATATGATCGTCGCTGAAAAAGCTGAGCCGGTTGTCTTCTTCCCTCCTCCGTCCGCCGAGGCGCCGAACCAAACCACAGGAAAGCAGGCGAAATCGATCATTTCCCCGGAAATCGAGATCGAGATGCTCTCGTCGTCCTCCTCCTCGCCACGCACAAACACCGCCCGGAAAAACGCCCAGCAGCCATCACTTGTTTGGCTGACACCATCAATACTTCCAGAGAACCAAAATATCCGAGGGTACATAAGACTGTGTCTCGGTGAACTGCATCCCGTCGGTGGGAATAATCGTCGTATTAGCTTACTGTAGTATTTTTCGTATAACCTATTTCATGTACAAAAAGTATACTAGCTTCTTTTGGAATTTTTTTAATTTTAACCTTTTTAATATAATTTTAAATCTAACACTGTCGGGTTTTTTTAAAACTAACACTTTTGGTCACGCCTATTGCCCTGGCGCGGCCAAATGCCTGTGCCGCGCCATGCATGGCGGCGCGGCAGAGGCTTGACGTGGCGGCGACCATCACCACCGACGACGGTGGAAGGCTCTGCCAGCCGCCACCGATCTTGCGCGCGCAGCGCCGCTACCGATTCGTGGCGCTGCAGAGCGGATATAACCACCGCCGCGGCCTCTTGCCCGAGCAGTCGACGTTCCGCGAGCAACGCAGCAAGCGATGTCGCCGCGCCGCCATATTTCCGCTCTGCCGCCGGCCGAGGAGATCGTCGTCCGCCGCATGGCCATGCAAGCCGCGTCGGCCACGCCACCACCCGCCCACACAGCAAGCCAAGCCACCGTTCGGCGAAGTAAGCGAACCAGCCCACCAGTGACCAGCCGCCCGGTCAACCACCACGCGCCGTCGTGGCGTGCCTCCCCTCGGCGAAACCTCCGGTCACGCAGGGCGGCTGCCCGCCTAGGCCTGCGCCCGCGCCTCTCGGCCCGGTCTTGCGTGCCGTAGCGAGGTACTCCACTAATATAGTTAGCACAGTTAATAAAGTTAGTAAAATTATCAAAGTATAGTTAGTATAGTTAGTAAAGTTAGTTAGTTTAGTTAGTATACATAATATAATTAGTTAGTATAGGTAGTAAAGTAAGGTAGTTTAGTTAGAACAGTTTTTTACTCTAGTTGTATATTGGATTTAGTATTTGATTAGTTAGTATAGTTATAGTTAGAAAATGTAATAATGTTAGTATGGACATTACGTACGATGATTTTGACGACTTGATGAAGTTTCTTAAAATGCTTTTTTGCAGATGGATTGTTGTGTTAGAGTTTTGTTCGGAGGAAGTGTTAGGAGAGAAGATGGTATGTTTGAGGATATGGAAGAAGAATTGGAATGGTTTGATGAGCCTCCTAGCTTCAACGACCTTTGTGTCCGTTTGAATACAAAGTTTGAGGGTGATTTCACACTGAAGAGGAGGTTTGATACTGGGAAGACTATGGCACACTATGCCCTCATGCCCTTGCGCGACCCTATTCACTGGTCCCGCTACACTAGGGTTCTCTAAGGTTCCAATGTGCCCATGGCTGAGGTGGTCGTGGAGAATGGGTACAAGATGCATGGTGCACAGGACGGCCCATCCATTGATGGTTTTGGAGGCAATGAACAAGAATTAGGTGTCGAAGGGGAAGCAACTCAAGATAACATGGATTTGGACGGTCAGTTGACACAGGATCAGTTTCATTCAACTGCAGTAGGCTGTATAAGCAATGACTTCGATGTGAATGAGTTCGAACGGGAAGAGGAGGAGCAGGAGGAGGAGGACAGGATCAGTGATGTAGTTAGCAGTGATTCAGACGATTCTGATAATGACCAAGGAGGTACAGATGCTGTGGCAACACCGGTTGATGCCATGCCAGTACCGCTTCATACTATGCCATTACCAGTACCAACTGAGGTTTTGCATGGTGTCCATGTTCATGGTAGACTAGTCACAGATTTGGCTGCAGATGATAACCCCAATGATTCATGGGCCAGAATTAGCGAAACACAGCAGTATGTTCCACCACCACCTTACACAGCGATTGAGCTTGAGCAACTAAGGTCCAAGAACGTACCTTTCAGGGGCGTTCCAAACTATAGGGATGTCAGTATGATAGATATGACAGCTTGTGATACTGGTCTCCAGCTGTGTAGGAATTCATTGTATAACCATGAGAAAGAACCCCTTAGGAAGGGGATGATATTCAATACAATGTCAGAGATGAAACTCTTCCTTCAGGACTATGCTGTGTACCACCATAGACCGTACACCGTCACTCATTCAGACCAGGAGTTGAGGTACCACTTGATATGTAAAAATGGTTGTCTGTGGAGGTTAAATGCACGAATGAGACGGAGTGATGGCAAGTGGAGGATAACTAAAGTTGTTGAACCCCACACTTGCCTAGACAATAGGGGGAAGGAAAATCATCAGCAGCTCACTACACGTTACCTTGCTCGTCGTATATTGGGGCTCGTTGATGACAATAACGATATCTCGGTGTCTTCTTTACAACAGTCCATATCTGGATTCGTTAGGTATGATGTGTCATACGGAAAGGTTTGGCGTGCTAAGCAAATAGCTCTCGTGATTCGATGGGGTACTTGGGAGGAAGCGTACAACAGGGTGCCCCGCATCTTATGTGCAATGCATTATTACAACCCTGGCTTGAAATAGTTTGTGGACACCGGAGGGATGTATTTTTGGGACCCATTGAGGCATGTCCTCTATCGTGTGTTCTGGTCGTTCGCGCAAACAGAACATGCATTCCAGTTTTGTCGACCAGTCATACTTGTTGATGGCACTTTCCTGACAGGAAAGTACAGGGACACCTTGATGATGGCTACTGCTGTTGATCCTGAGGACCAGATAGTACCCGTGGCTTTTGCTTTGGCAGAGGGAGAGAACAATGAATCGTGGTCATGGTTCATGCGTCTTCTACGTGTGCAAGTGCTTGGCTCAACTCGCACTATATGTTTGATCTCCGACCGTCATGCAGGGCTTCTTAATGCTGCAGCTGAGCATATAGATGGGTTCCCGCCTCTAGTACATAGATGGTGCATGAGACACTTTGCCGCAAATTTCTGGCGGCGTCAGCGGAAGAAGGAGGTAAGTGACAAAGTAAAGGCTCTATGTTGTGTACGTACAGAGCATGAGTTTAAGGAGACAAAGAGAGAACTAGACAAGATGGTAAATACAGCGGGGAAGGCCTGGTTAGAGGCGCAGATGGAACAGAAGGCTCAGTGGGCGTTAGCATATGACGAGGGGGGTTTTAGGTATGGCATCATGACTACTAACTCCTCGGAGTCCTTCAACCGTGTATTCAGCGGAGTTCGATCGTTGCCTGTGTCTAGAATTATTGAGTTCTCCTTTCATAAGTGCAACGAATATTTTGTGAAGAGGTGGGAACTTGCACAGAGGAATATAGCTGAGCAGGGGCGTTTTAGAAAAGGCCGGAGCTAAACATTTGAAGGAGGTCGAGGAATTGGCCAAGCAGCACACCACCGAGCCGTATGGACCCCGCCGCCATATCTTTAGTGTACGGGGCAAGGGTGGCACAAGTTTGGGCGGCGAACGTTATGGTGGACGAAACTACCGAGTTGATCTTGAAAAGATAGAGTGCAGTTGCAACGTCCCTCAGATCATGCATGCCCTTTGCTCTCATATGATCATGGCCTGCAGGGTTCGCGGGTACAACTATGAGGATCTACCATATATGTCACCCTTGTATCTCCGTTCGAACACCGTTAGTATTTGGGAG